CTGGCCTTAACATAACAAGGCTGGGTAATGAAGTTACCGGCAAAAAGCAAACTTTTTTTACACCAACCAGAGATCTTTTTATCGGGGAGCCTTCATGTGACAAATGATAACCACTTTGTCAGCACTGGTCTGACTGCGGCGGAATTAGCGTGACTGTGTAGTGTGTGTTAACTACGAACGTATATAGATTTATAGTTAAAACAAGGCAACAACGAGTTTGTGAAGACCATCATAAAACTAATGATTGTGATTTTAGATAAAAATTCTTGTTTTCTTGTTTTAACCTATATTTTAGATTTTAAGATGTTAATCTTCGAATTATGTTTTGTTATGTATTTTCAAAAATTGTCAGCTGGTGTTCAGACTTCGGACAATGAAATTCAGTTATCTTTCTGAGAGAGATTCTTTATATTAAAGTAAAGCCAATATACAAATATACAATTGTGGAAAAATCTATTGTATTTTTTCGGCCCACCCCGCAGTGCGTGTCGATTTATTTAACTGCATGGCAAGGCTAAGAAACAACAAATAATTCGTCGCTTCAAGGAGGATTCAAACTCGCATCTTTGGGTTTCTATAAATAGAAAACAGCAAATATTCCAGATAAATATATGAAACCCGCGTGAATGCCGTACTGGCTAGATTTTTAATATAAAAACATACAGTTTTCTTATTACATCAGGCACCTTACAAAATAGGTTTGCGGCATTTACGAGAGGCAAATTCTTTAATGATATCCTGGAAGTCGATTTTGCGTAAGACCTCTGCCTCTATACACATTATAGATAAATTGTTCAGTTTCTGGTCTGTCATGGTAGACCTAAGCACGTTCTTGATGCGTTTCAATGCGGAAAATGATCGCTCTCCCGAACAGTTGCTCACCATTAATGTCAAATAAATTCGAAGAGCAATTGCAACATTTGGAAAAACTTCACGAATTCCTTTGTTTGCCAGCACACGATGCATTTGAAGCTCGACGCTGACGGCTTTATCTGATTTATCTTCATTGCAAGGCCTGCTTTACCCTAACACATGACACATCGGGTTGTACATTTCACAGAAGGTATTAGGTACACACGTAGTTCACATGGTAGTGATAATACATTATTACACTCCTCGATTCCTCTTGAAGCGTATGCATACGCCGCAGTTATATGTAAATTAAAGCGAAATCCTATGTAAATTTCAACGTGCAACGTGTAAATTTCAACTTTATAGCTTGTGCAGCTTGACAGTTCTAACACAAATTACACAATCACCAATAAACAAATGCACGAAATTTTTGTAAAATGTTGTTATGTTTACCTTAAGGCCGTACAAAACTTCTTTGTTGTCTTCCGAACAGACGCCGGGATGTACGATTCCGCAGCAAAATTTCTCGTGAGGCAGAAGCTGGTGTTTTTCAGTTTGTTTAAAAATTGCTCAGTTGAACGCTTTGCTGCGGCGTCTATTCGCTTCTTCAGATCGGCCTCGATAGTTTTAAGATATTGCCGATCGTCTTTCTCCAAAGCACATCTCACGGCTTTGTAAAGATCTGACATGATTAATAAATAGTTTTGATAATAAAATGTTTCTTTTGAGTTAATCGTTCGAGTTTTCGTTGCTGTCAAAACTACGATGACGTCAATCAGAATTCAGAAAGGCCAAGGAACCTTGCTGTTTGCACGCTCTCAGGTCAAGGTCAGATCACACTGATCGATCAGAAAAATACAACCAATGAGAATTCAGATAGATTTTGAATTAGCCAATTGAATAGCCCGATTCGAGCCCCTGATCGCTTCACCGATCAGAACTCCCCACAAATCACGCAAAAAGAGAGACAGCCAATGTGATGACTGGGATTTGATGACGAAGCGAGCAAAATTCATGCATAAGACCGCTTTTCTGCGCGCTCGTGCTTGAAGGCCTGGTCACGGAACTCTCTTAACAACTGGACTGCCAAACATCACCAGTGCCTGATCAGCTCAATACACTGCACGTGTTTAGCAACTGGACTGCTATTTCATTCGAACACTTTTCTTGGCAATTTTTACCTTAGTCGCGTGATCGCTCTGATCACCCCTAGATCCGCGCCTGTTCAGGACAAAGGAATTAAAGGATGCAATATTCCTGCAAAATAAGAAAAATCTGATAAGTCTCACTGTACTCAATTTAGTCTACCCTTTATTAATGGTTACAAAGTAAGTACAAGGTACAGAAATTATAGCTATTAAACCATGATAAATCTTGTCAAAGAAAATATTAGGCTTTAACTGCCACTCCACTGACTCCAGTGGTTGTTAAATAACCTGCCTGAACCCCTGCCAGGTCAGGCAAATAAATCAATATAAAGTGACTAGTATGCCTTGTTTAGCTAAAAATATACACAAACTTATAACTTGTATACATTCTAGTAAAAGTTTGGCTGTTTGAAAAAATTGCATTATGAAAATTTAGCAAAAAGGCTGACATAAAAAACTAGTTCACTGTAACATAGCAATAAAACTTTTATTGAGTTAATAATAATTAAATAAAAATATGTTGTTGGCAAACATTTTTGCTTTTCATAACAGAAGTTTTGATAGACTTACTGGCTTTGAGCTTTAATTTTAAGTCGTATATTACTTATATACTAAAGTCCAGACGGAAGAAACGAAAATATTTCAAAAAGATTACCTGATTCTCTTCCGATAAAACATATACTACATCACAAGTAGATCAAGAAAACACAGCTTCGCATAATTTGTAAAACAGGGAAAGCCCGGAAACGAGGAAACAATTTTAATTTATTATTTCAACGAGAGGTACGCATAGCGTACATGTGGGTATAGCCTCGAAAACATCAGCAGCGATTACAGTAAAGCGAAGCACTGCAATTTATATAGTTATTCTCAAAAATCGCGCATGGTCACCGGCTTTCAATTATACCTATAATGTCTTTTGAACATCAAGCTCAAAAACTATTAAACAAAGTAGATTTTATAAGTAGTGGCCATTGTGACACTTTACTATTTTAGTCTGTCTAACGCCAGACGATTTTACTCGTCACAGGGAAACCCTTGGGCACTAGAGGGTTAATAAACTATCTGTTTAAATAACCGATTACCTAAGGGTAATGGATTAGATATTATGGCAGCCTTTTTTGGGGTTAGGTGAGGAACGTTGATTGCAAGTTATGCTCACTGTCAAACAGATGGCAGATTGCGACAAAAATCATTGAATTGATTAGTTTTATGTTTTCAATGTCATAAACCTCTCTCGCCAAAGAAATGCACTAGTCAATATATATGTCAGATACAGTAATAGAAAATTAGATTTTATTACACAATTAAATTAAATAATCACATGAAATACACATTCTAGACAATTATATGGACATTCTTCATATAAATTTCGAATGACGGAATTCACACATAAAACATTTTTTTACAAGAGAGACAATAGAGAGAATGTAGAAAAAGTATACACAAAAATATTAGAAATAAGACATGTATTGGACAAAACAATGTTGACAGTACAAAAGGAAAGAAGTCAGGTTCCAGGATGGCGGCACACATTGTGATATATAACAAATATCTGATATATTGAAAGTATAAAATAAGTTTTCGGAGTGTTCCAGGTTTTTTTACAATTTCAAAAAGTCACTGGTTAATCAGCTTTCACTTCAATATCAGTACGCTACGATGTTTATTGTTTTACAACAGCTTGTGCATGTAATTTTGTCGTTGGATGTATGCAATATACGATGTTAGCTAAGAGGTTGATTTTGAATGATGCTTAAATCATCAATGCAAAGTTTCTTGCCATAGTTTTTTTTTCGTATGAAATTACTTTTTTTAACGATACCATGAATCGAGTATACGAAGGCAAAATTAGGATCGGGGACAATGTTTCTATCACCATTAATTAGTCGGAGAAAGTTGCCCGAGCGTATTAATCCAATGATAATTCTTTAGCTTGTTTACATTGTTCATTGATCATATTATCAGTCCGACAATCAGTTAAGAATGAATCCATTATTCAGCACTGATGTAAACGCGTACTAACAAATAATAGTTACCAGAAATGCATCATTTTGTTGCCTTTGTCTTGCATGAACGTGTCAAGAAGTTTAGTGATGCTTTGCTTAAGAAAAGAGAACTGTTTTTGTCTCGTATCCACGTTCCAGTGACAGTTTACAGTATTTTTGGATGTCGATACCAGATAACAGCAGAGGAACGAAGATATCGATATTTTCTTTGTCGTGCTTGGCCTTTTCATCAAGTTCATTTGGCGTCGATCATCACATTTCGGACTCCCATAGCGGTCATATTCGGCCAGAAGATTCGATCAGTCAAGTAGGTTCCCGCGTATCGTCTCGTTCAAACTCGCTATGTGGTTCGGCAACAAGTTTTAGCAGTTCGAAAGCGAAGGCCGCTGCGAAGAAGGCTGCCTTAGAATCGCAGGTTAAAACCTTACGTCGTGTCCATCAGCTCGAAATGGAGGAGCTCACCCTGCCACAACGAAAGAAAGAGTTACAGCTGAGCGGAGAAATAGCCGCTGCCGAAGCTGAAAGAGACGTGTACGAGCAAGCCGAGGCCCAAGAGCTTAAGCAATCCGACCCTTCCCTGCTATTAGACGCTCGTACCGGAAGGTCAAAGAATCCCTTCGCAACCGAACTCACAGTGGACAACCAACATCAAAGTATGGAAAATACTCCCAAGATCAATTCGAGGCAGGACTTCGCCAGCAACTCAACATCTACTCCACGTGACGAATCGTTCCGACGAATTGTTGAAATACAAGACCAACAAAGTAACGCCCTCCAACAACTTATCGCCAACAGCAACAGGGTGTCTTAGCTTTGACTCTGCCCCAACCAAGTATGCCAGTCTTCAGCGGAAACCCTGTCGACTATTGCGATTTCATCCGCTCCTTCGAGCATCTGATCGAGTCGAAAACCACAAGCCCAAGTGCACGACTCTACTACCTTGTTCAACACCAGCGGTTCTGAACAGGAACTCATGAAAAGCTGTCTTTCGATGAAAGAGGACGAAGGATACGAAGAAGCAAGAAAACTCCTCAAAGAACGTTATGGAAAGGAGTACCGGGTCGCCGCCGCCCACCTTCAACGGCTGGTCGACGGTCCACCAATCAAGAGCGAAGATGCGAACGCCCTTCAGCAATTCTCGATACAACTAACCAGTTGCACAAACACGCTGGAGAAGATTGGATACCTACATAAGCTAAATAACTCGGAAAATCTGAAAAGGATAGTCGAACGCCTACCCTACGCGATGAGAGTCAAATGGCGAGACACAGTAGATCGGATCGTTGAAATACAACAGCGCGATGTCACAATAAAGGACATTAACAAATTTGTAACTGCCAAGGCAAGAGCTGCAAATCATCCAGTCTTCGGAAAGATCGCCATAGAGAAACCCAAGCCGCTCAAGCAGAATCAGAGGACATCACAATATGGAAAGGCTACAGGTTTCGCAACCCAATCAACCTCACAATCACCCAAATGTCCACAGTGCGGCTCCAACCATTGGCTGTCTCGCTGTGATAAGTTTAAAAAACAGTCTCTAGAAGAGAGACAGAAGTTCGTCCGGGAAAAGAAACTTTGTATTAACTGCTTGTCAACTGGTCACTTCGTCCGCTCGTGCGAGAAAGAAAGTTTTTGTAAAGTTGATGGATGTGTCGGCAAGCATTCAACCTTTCTTCACCCGAAATTGCAACAACCCCTGAACACCAAGAAAAATGACTCCAAGCAGAAGAGAAAATTCCGGAGGATCGTCGCTCTGAAGATAATCATTCCGAAACACAAGGTAACAACGCCAACAATGGTTACGTCAAGTCTAAGCCCGGTGGTAGTTCTCCAATCACAGGACTCGCAATCGTACCTATCGAAGTGAAAGCTAAAGGAAGCTCGAAGACGGTAAAAACTTACGCGTTCCTCGATTCAGGCTCGAATACCACCTTCTGCACCGAAAAATTGCTTGAAGAACTCGAGATCCACGGTACAAAGACGAAGCTGTCATTGACGACGATGCAAGCCGAAAATGTTCCGGAACAATGTACAATGGTTAGCCTGGAGATCTTGGACCTCGCGGGCAACTCTGAAATCAACCTCCCAACGGTGTATTCAAGGCCGAACTTGCCGATTCCGAAAGACGCCATTGGAAGGCAAGAAGATGTAAATCGCTGGCCCTATCTAACTGGAATCAGAATAAATTCAATCGACGCAGACATTGGACTGCTTATTGGTAGCGATGTCCCGGAAGCTCTCCAACCTCGTGAAATGCGACAAAGTCAGAACGGTGGTCCATTTGCAACCCGAACGGCCCTTGGATGGGTCCTGAATGGTCCATTAGGCAGAAACGGAACGAAAACTTCGACGGCGAACCTAGCTCAAGCTAATCTAACCTCGGACGAAAAATTCGAAAACTACTGCAACTACGAATTTAATGATTACAAATATGATACTAACCCAACAATGTCTCAGAACGATCGAAAGGCTCTCGGCATCATGGAAGAATCGGTTAAGATGGAAAATGGCCATTACGAGATTGCGCTCCCGTGGAAAAACTATCCACCAGACCTACCTAACAATAAAACCTAAGCCGAACATCGCTTACAATTGCTGAAAATACGACTAAACAACAATCCCGAACTTCTTCGGAAATACAGAGATTTCATGGATAAACTATTCGAGAAAGACTACGCAAGCGAAGCAATCAACAACGAAGAAGGATCGTTAGGTACGCGCTGGTACCTCCCACATCATCCTGTCTTCCATCCACAAAAACCAGATAAAGTCAGAGTTGTTTTCGACTATTCTGCGAAATACGGCAACACTTCCCTTAACGACCGGCTTTTACAGGGGCCGGACCTAACCAACTCACTCGTCGGGGTGTTAACACGGTTCCGCGAAGAACCCATTGCGTTCATGTCCGACATCGAGACAATGTTTCATCAACTCCGCGTTCGACCAAGCGACAGAGATGCTCTACGATTTCTGTGGTGGCCGAACGGCAATCTCGAGAACCCTCCCGAAGAGTATCAAATGAACGTCCATTTGTTCGGCGGTACTTCTAGCCCAAGTTGTGCGAATTACGCACTGAAGAAAACGGCGATGGACAATGCATCGCACTTCCACGACAAAACTATCGAGACCGTCAAACGCAATTTTTATGTCGACGATTGTTTGAAATCAGTTCGCGACGAAGAAGAAGCAATCAAACTTTCGAAGGAATTACGCGAATTACTATCACTAGGAGGATTTAATCTCACGAAGTGGTTGTCCAATTCTCGAAGGGTCATTGAATCTTTGCCGGAAGCAGAAAGAGCAGCTCAAGTCAAAGATTTGGATTTCGACAAGGTTCCAATAGAAAGAGCGCTAGGCGTCAGGTGGAACGTGTCTTCAGACACGTTCGGCTTTGCAATCGTGATTAAGGATCGACCGGCAACGAAAAGAGGAATACTATCGATCGTCAGTTCTATTTACGACCCCTCGGATTCGTTGCTCCTTATATTCTTTCGGCAAAATTGATCTTACAAGAACTTTGTCGATTAAAGCTCGACTGGGACGATAAGATTCCTGATGAAAATCTTAAACACTGGCAAGCATGGCTACATGATCTACCTCAACTTGAAAATTTAGCTGTAGAACGTTGCTTCAAACCAGCTACAATGAATGACATCAAATCAACACAACTTCACCACTTCTCTGATGCCTCGCAGCAAGGTTATGGAGCTGTGTCCTATATTAGAATCGAAGACATATCGGGAAATGTCAAATGTTCGTTCGTGATGGGAAAATCCCGACTTGCGCCTATGAAGCCAGTAACGATACCCCGAATGGAGTTATCAGCGGCTGTAGTGTCTACGAAGCTCGACAAGATGTCAAGAAATGAATTGAGCTTGCCTACCGATCAATCTTTCTTTTGGACTGACAGCACTTGTTTTTTGCGCTACATTGAAAACACGACCAAGCGATTTCAGACGTTTGTCGCAAATCGAATAGCGACAATACATGATGCATCGACCCCCAAGCAATGGAATTACGTGGACACTTGTTCAAATCCTGCGGATGACGCATCAAGAGGCGTGCCGGCAGACTCTCTTCTGCGATGGATCAAGGGTTCCGATTTCCTTACTAAGCCACCCGGAGAATGGCCAAAGAGACCTGAAGATCTGGGATCAACCACGGCGGTCCTAGACGACGACCCCGAAGTGAAGCACGGTTCGTTTGTTTGCGCTGCCAGCATAGCGCACGTTTCTAAGAAACAGTTTACGGATCAACTAATTGAAAGGTTTTCATCGTGGAGCAGATTAAGAAGAGTATTCGCCCTTATACTACGCTATGTAAGAAATCTGCGTTCGCGTACCCGATCTCAACAGAAAGATCGAGCGGAATCCCTACCATCAGCAAATATCCCACCCATCAGTTTGACAGAATTGGTCAATGCCGAACGTGCAGTTTTGAAACTCGTATCTTCAACTCGACATCTTCAAAGTAAAAGATACAACAACTCGGTTAGCAATGCTAGCAGTATTGCAAAACTGGACCCTATCCTAGTCGACGGCCTCATTCGAGTCGGAGGTCGTATCCAACGAGCACAAATCAGCGATGACGCTCGTCACCCAATTATCCTTCCTAAAACCCACCACGTGGTCACCCTAATCACCAAACATTACCACCACGTCTCTGGTCACTCTGGCATAGAATACACGTTATCTTTAATAAGAGAGCGGTTTTGGATAATCAAGGCACGGGCTACAGTTCGAAAGATATTGAATGCGTGTGTTAGTTGCAGAAAAAGACAATCTCCTGTCGTCGAACAAAAGATGGCAGACCTCCCAGCAGATCGCGTAACCTACGGAAAACCCCCATTTTCCTTTACTGGTGTAGGTTGCTTCGGCCCGTTCTCCGTACGCCGCGGAAGAACGAGTACGAAACGATATGGTATTATCTTCACCTGTTTAACAACTCGAGCAATCCATGTAGAAGTAGCAAATTCTTTGGATACAGAATCCTTCATAAACGCTTTACGAAGATTCATCGCAAGACGAGGCCAACCTGAGGAAATGCGGTCGGACAACGGAGGTAACTTCGTAAAAGGCGAAAAAGAACTTCGGCAAGAAATCGAAAAATGGAACCAAAATCAAATCCATGACTTCCTCGTGCAACGCAGCATTAAATGGACATTTAACCCACCTGCAGGCTCACACCACGGCGGGGTGTGGGAGCGATGTATAAGAACAGTTCGAAAGGTAATGAGAGCTATTACCAAGGAACAGTTACTCGATGACGAAGGCCTTAACACATTATTGATGTGCGAGGTCGAAGCTATTGTCAATGGACGGCCATTGACAAAGTTGTCAGATGACCCCAACGATCTGAAACCCCTAACCCCCAACCATCTTCTATTGCTCCGAAGCGGAACAAATTTACTACCTGGAAATTTCTCAAAGGACGACTGCTGCAGCACGAGGCGATGGCGACAAGTACAGTATCTGGCCAATGTATTTTGGAGGCGATGGATTAGAGAGTATTTACCATCATTGCAAGAACGGCAGAAATGGCTTAAGAAACGACGGAATCTAGAAGTTGGTGATATTGTCTTAATCCTCGATGAGAAAACTCCACGCTGCAGCTGGCCAATGGGACGCATCCTCGACGTCTACACCAACCGTCGGGATGGTCTCATGCGTTCTGTGAAAGTGAAGACAAGCTTATCGGTCTTGGTTCGACCAGTGGACAAGATTATCTTCCTGGAATCTGAAACTGCTCCAACAGACGATAAGTAGAAAATAATTAAGATTTAATAGACGGCGATAGCCAGGAGCAATATATACAAATATACACATATTAGATTAAATGCTAGTTGAGATTTATCATAAAGTTTCGAACCCATATAATTTTTTGGTAAAGGCTTCAACATCGCCTTTAAGGGGCCGGAATGTTGGTTTCGAAACGGAAGGTCGTTCAAGTTGCTATTTTTCTGGCAAAACAAGTTGTTATTTTCCATTTCAGCGCGAAGATTTACATTAAATGCGTAAATTTGGTTAGCAAATGCGCAATGCGGTTGCCTTGCCTAGCCACGCTATGTCCGTCACAAACACACTGCGTTTCTATGTTTTGAAATCCGGTTCATGCTACACAAAAACATTCTACTTCTACACTCATTCTACGCTGAGTCTCGAATGTGGACGCTTGCAAGAAAGCAAAGGTTTATGCTACAATTCTATTCGCATTGCGAGACAAAAAATTCTATCTTTATTCCACCTCAATCAAAGCTATATCTACGCGCATGATAGTTAAAGTTGGTGCGTCTGCAAACCAAAGTAAGTAAATAGATAGTACGTTGTTTCAGTTAGCAATTGTCGCACTAAGTGTTTCGATAAGCGCTGCTAAAATCGGTTTAGTTGTTATATTGTATTGCATGCTAATTCTTAGTTTAATAAGTATATCTCGTTTATGTCAATTATCAAGTATACTCCTATTAATTTCATGTGACAGGTTACTATAGTTTGTCTGCTTATCATATTTTAGTTCGAACCGACGCAATATTCTCAATCGACTTATTCGACCCAAACCTGTATATATCCTGTTAATAAATTATCAAAATTCCTACGTCGAGTTCGTTTCATTCTACGCACCGCGTCTACCCCTGTAGATTTATTGGGAACTCGTTGACATTGAATTTCTGTCCCAGTGAAGCTAAAGATCTAACCATGTTACACTATGGTATTTCTTTACTTTTCAATAACTTATTGTTGTAGTTCTTTGTAACATGTGATGTTTGCATGTCATTACTTTCTTACCTTAACGGAAGCCCAAATTGATTTGTGATCACTAAAGTACGTTTCAAGAGTACCTGCTTGAACATCTTCTTCAATCAAATTCGTATACACATGATCAATTAATATCCTATTATCTGTTGTACAGCTAGATATAAGTTGGTCAAGGCCAATTTCATTGATCATAAGGTTGTACAATAATCTTCGTTCTATCTCATCAAGCCAATTAACATTAAGTCTCCAATGATTATAACTTGTGTAGAACGAATTTTTCCTCCAAAGTGGCACGAATGGCAGCCAAAAGAGGTGATAATA